ATGCAACCATACAAAAATAACTGTTGAAAATGCTATTAAGAACAGAGACTGTCATAGCCAGTCCTCTTGCATGGTAATAGGACTAGACAGCGACATCAACATGAACAGGGAGATCCCGCAACATTTATCAGTAAAAAACAGTAAATGAATTACTAAAGTAGATCAGACATGAACCCCCCCCCCCCTGCCCTCCAACCTAATATCGACCAAAGTCCACACGGCGCAACAAAAAACTTTGGTATTTCAAGTTTGCAGATGATGGAACCAATGAATACAGAGTCAATTTTGCGCCAAAAGTGCTCTGATCATATTTCCAACACAAATTTTCGAACCCGACAAGGCTCTATTTGAGAAAGTGAAAGTGAGAAAAATCAGACTATCACTTGGGAAGAGCAAAAATGAAATCTTTATCCCTATGCTCTGCAGCCAGACAAACATAAAGTTTCGCAGCTCTTTTGGCATTTGCTAGGGAAACAGATCTTCTGCTCAAAGTAAAAATCAATATGGTTAGGTCCTGGGAAGATAATCACGAATCCGTAACAAATACAAAAAGAATCGTCGTAAGAATCTAATCATTATCACACTATCCAAAAATAGGCAATAAAGTGATGAAAAAGATTTCATTATATATTAAGTATTGATTTGAAAAAGGCATATAAACGGGCGAAACAGCATCAAATGTAGAAAGCAGGGCTCGGCACGAGGTGGCTTACAAGCAAGCTGGGTATCGTTTTTGGGACGAAAAGCAAAGGGGGTTTCGTTTTTGTGACCGAAGAGACACGGAAAATTGGCGACGGCGACCTTTTTTTCTTAGTCGACGTTTCGTTTTTTGGGGGATTTTGGGGAATTTTTCAGGTTTTTAGAGGAAATTTGGTTGAGGGTCAAAGGGGACTTCGTAAAAACTCCCAAAAGTCAAGGGGGACTTCGTTTTTTCCATTTTCATCTAGCCACCTCGTGCCGAGCCCTGGTAGAAAGAGGAAAGCGAAGTTCCAAGGGCTAGCTTCGTGCAACAAAGCAGGTGGAATGAGTTTGAAAAAAAGAGTCCTATCAATGCTTCTGTATAACGTAAACCCCAAAAATTGCATCGATCCTGTTTGCATTTTTGTTCTGTTTTTTCTTGCGTTGTGACCAAAAAGTGTTCCAAAAGTTGGGATATTTGGTCTCCTCCAGCTCAAAAACCACTTACTACAAAGTACAAGTAACCCTGATTTGCTAGTTATTTATTTATTTATTTATTTATTCAATACACACATGGGTGTACCAAAAAACACAAATGGAAAGCATGAAATCTGTAACAGATTGGTGCGCGTAGTTTCTTGCTGGAATGTGCAGGTCGTTCTCCTTCTCCAAAGAGTGAGTGCTCCTGTTATTGTTAGTCATTCATCAAATCCACAAGGAGTCCAACTCTTTTTCATAACGATAGAATACCTCGCGCATTCATTCGAGATCTCATTATTCGCGGAAGAATTGCGCGTCGCATTTTGTCTTTTTTCCAGATAAAAAAACTAGGATTTCCCTTAACGAAGTAATTGGATTATAGGACTAATCAGCGATTGCATTTCGATTCAGACCAGCCACTGTTCTTTTTTTTTAATTCATTTGGTTGTAACGGGAAAAGTTCCGCTAATTTTCGACATCATCGATGCGCTTCTTCACATGCTAACGACGTACAGGAACGCGCACGACTAATAATCCGCGCGAGTTTTTCTTTGGGTGACAATAATTTCCAGCTAACGGAAAAGTTTCAAACGTCACTTTACACATGGTACCTTGCTCACCACCTTGCTTCTGTAGCAGACGCCTCCTCCTCCTCTCATTTTTGGGATGCTTTTTGAATTTGCAAAAAAGCCTGATACCACCATACAAAGCTTGTTTATTATTTTGAATTTAAAAAAATCCACTTGCCTATATATGGTCTATTTATTTACTGTAGCTACCCTTTGATTCAACAGGATTGGCGGGTGGAAGGCGATCGCTCGCACCCGCTGCGCAGTCTGCGTCTCCTCGCAAGCGTGCTCTCTGATGCTCTCTCTCTGCGTGCTCTCTCTGCTCCCCAATCTTGTTTAGACCTCGAAGTTCCTCTTTCAGCTGCCAATCCTCTTGAATCAAAGGATACTTGCGCAACTGTATTATTGAACAAGCCCACCAACAATGGAATATCAAACATCAAGGGGGTAAAGTACAAAAATCAATATCTTTGTCAAAAATTTCTGTCCTAAGCAAGCAACGCCCACATTTTCAAGCTTTCCAACAAAAAATTGCCTCTGTGCAGAAAGATCTAGCACGTTAGGCGCTAATTCTGGCTACGCAGCTACGTGGTTAGGATTTGGCTGTGGGCGGAGCATCATTTCGAGAATCTCCTCCACTGCACCAGTGGCTTCCTACTTAGGGATCAAACATGATCCTTGCCGAATTTTCACTCGCGTCTGTCCTGTTAACAGTTTTTGCATCAGGTTAGAGATTGAATTCCATATTTTGGTGTTAAGAGTACGGGTTTTTCGATTGATTTCACATTGATCAAAAAATTTTCGACGTGTCGTAAAATATAAATGTTCACAGCATCGTCTTGCGATTTTTTTTCAATTCTGAAAAGAAAGCTTGAACTCATTCAACTATCCGCTTATCTGAGAAGGCCTAGTCATCTTGCTTTTGCTGTCCTCATTGTGCCAAATAAGATATCCAGTGCTCAGTAAAGAATTGTGAGACAGTAATTTTCCCCCTTTGTCGGTTCTAAAATAACTTCCTCATTTTTTAAAGTTTTTGCTGAACTACCACAATAATTACGATTATTTGTGACATTAGCACAATCAAAAAAGGAGTAAGCATGTGCATTGTATTCATAACCGTCTTAGACCAAATCTATGTTGTGACATTGCTATATTCTCGCCTAATTCACTCAATTTCAAAAAGAAAAATCCAGTATAAGTGTGGAGATCTAAATCAGATACCAACACTCAAAAAGCTTTCTTAATTGATTCAAAAGTACGATCGGAGATTTTTGCCCGATATTAGTCTTGCATTTTGCATTTCTTTATACTTCACTTTCACTAATTGCTTTGACAAAATGATTAGCAAAATATTTATAAAGTTACCCCTTGTAAGCACTTCTATTTGTTAGAAACTAAATATCGCGAACAATTTCGAACGCTGGCGTATCAAAGTCCAAAGCCATTCTAAACCTTTTTCATCATTTCGAAAACTATAAAGGTTCATTGTCGTCCAGTCATGTACGGTAAAGCTTGGTACTTATCAAAATTGTATGGCAAAGCATGATTATGATATATTTTGCTAATGGTTTCTTGGTTAAAGAGTCGGTGACCGTCGATTGTGTCCGGTAGAGTGTACGAGTGGCTTAATTTGATAAAATCTAGCTTTACTATAAAAAAACAGTAGCTGGGTTTAATTGCGGAAACTGTTTCTAATCAATATCAAACACTAAAATATAAGGAGAACTTTTGAGCAGAAATAATTCTTAAGACACCTAACATCGAGTCACTTCTAACTCAACAAGCGTATTGCACACCATGCGCGCTACTTGACGACTGTAAGATTAGAACCTGCTCATTTTTCGTGATTTCTTCTTGTTTGCTTGTCATTTTTGATTTACTTGGTATGTATCATTTAGTAATACAAATCACACTCTGCAAGCCTACAGAAGTTTACTGAGAAATTTCTCGCCCATAGTGTGCAAACTCACATATTAAGTTACAAATGACTCGAGGATACAGGATGTGTCAAAAAATGTGAACTATTCCGTAGATATACCATTTCATAATTACTCTTATAGAATGTGAAGTATCCGAATGGACCGAATGGAGTCAGTGCTTTGGCACTTGCTACTTTGGTCAGACCGTACGTAATCGAGACGTAACTCGTCCATCACTACCAGATCGTCCGGGTACACCAACTAAACGATGCCCGCATTTATATGAAACTTTATTTTGTGCTCCTGCATCCTGTAAACAGGTGAGGTTACAGCTATCGTTTCTTTAAAGAAAAATTCGCTAGCAACTTAGGGTAGTTTTTTTTATTCTAGCCCATTCCCTAGATCAAGGACTCATTCCATGCATTATATCCATACGTATATAACTAAGCAGGGTCAAATTGGCGTAGGAGAGCGAAAACACTTGTTCGCCACCTCTTGACATAGAGAACATATAATTATAGTTGAAAAATCTAAAGAAGTTGCTCCCTTACATGAAATGAAAATTCATAAGCTAGGCTGCACAGAAGTCTCACAGTCTGATAGGGAAAAGAAAACCATATTTCATGAAAATTAAAATGGCGCGACCGTAGTACACTTTTTTGTATTCTCAGAGATTTGAGCTATGGGGGAAAGGTTTCTGAGGAAATTTCCTAGTCTTGTTAGCTTCAATTATGCGATTAATAATGACAAAAGAAACTAATTCACATGGTTGCGTGACACTTCTAATTCTAGTTTGCTTGTCTTCTATGCTGTTCATTTCAAGTGAGCCGTTCAGATGGAAGTCCTCCAGATAGCTATAGCTTTGATTTTTCTGACAAATAGTTGTCAAACTTCAAAACTTAATTATGTACTTATACATCATTCGTTGAGCATTAAGGCCGAAAACCAATATAAAAGAAAATGAGATTTGTGAAACGTAGAATGTGTTCCAAACTAGTTCAAAAATTTAATGAATTTTGCTACGTCAAATATGGATATCTCACCGTAATTAGTTCCCACCATTCCTTCCTTGTCTTTTTATTTGTTTTCAAAGATTTCGAAAAAGCACTAGTTTGAAAAAAAACCTTGAGATGGATGAATAGACATCGGGAATTTATTTTATAATTTGAAAAAATATATTATTGACAAATTGATGCACGAGACCTCAAATTGCTCACTTCTAGAACGAAAATAGGATTCTAACCAAGAAAACTTCCAGGGCTCATCCGAAGGAGATGACCGCTTCCGCACCCTAGGCCACCCAATTCCGCCACCAAGGTTTGTGCTCGAAAAGCAAATCATGCACAAGGGTAGAATGGAATCGTCACTTTCAAGCGTAAGTATGGCATGAAGTCAATTAAATTGTAAAAAATTGTATACAGAGCGAAGCTAAGGCTAAGGGACCCTTAAAGGACGAAGAAAGAAGACTTCGTCTTAGCGAAGGCATGTCGCAGATGCGTTTGTTACGACCCGTGGATAGATTGCCGGAGCTACTTCAAAGTCAGGCAAGGAACAGGGTTCGCAACTTTGAGGGGGAGATTCTTACGAAAGCACGAGTACGTTCCAAGTGAGTTTTTTACCCTGTTCTATAAGTAGACACCCGTTGCACGACCTCAAATTTGAGCTGGAGCAGACCGATTGCGATAGAGCACGGCGCCCTCATTCCACAATTCGTTTGCCTACTTACTTAGAGGATGCTGCCGTGCTTTATCGCAAATGACCTGCTCCAATTCAAATTCAAACTCGTCCACAAGGTGTCTACTGATATGGAAACGAACTTCTACAGCTGTCGTCTGCCCCTATCCTACAGTTATATTATCTATTTCTCGATGTAATCTTCGCTGTACCGTAATTTCCAGGGATGACAGCGTCAAAGAAGCAAATTTCGATATTGATGAGGCACCAATAACCGTGAACGCCGATGTCTCACCGCCCCTTAAACCAGTCAAAGAAAGGAAGGAGAGATGGAGGATAAACAACAACGATGATTCCTCACTTAGTGAGGTTGTACGAGAGCTTGAGTCCACAGGGAATTTCAAATTACCGCTCGACGAGAAACATATTAGAAGTGTTTTAAAAAAGAACAAGAAGCTTATGAAAGCCTTGGTGGAAACATACAAACTGAAAACGACCACTGCTATTCCCCTCTTGTCCACAACAAATTCTGAAGACACTCTTGATGCTTCAAATACTACGAAAGATATCACAGACGAAGATGGTACTGCATCAGCATTACCGGATCTGTTAGAATTTACCACAACTGGAGAGGAGCTGCTAGAGGTTGGAGAATTGAATACAACGACAAATACATCCAACTTTTCACCTAAATCAACCACTGAAAGCATAAATCTTACAACCTCAAAGGATCCCAGCTTTAGAAGAACCACGTTCACCGAAGCATTCGTCGCCACTACCTCCAATTCCACAACCTTGGAACCCAGACCTTCTTCCGAAGATTTCCTTCCTGTCAATTTAACGGAGAATCCTCTGCACAATACATTAACACTAGAGGCTGAGATCACACTAGACTATGGGGATATTTCGAGAAGTGAGGGCTCAGCCCGAGAGGTAGAAGATGAAGCGAATGAATCGTCAACTTTCACAACGTCAACGTCAACGACGACATCAGATACATCGACTACGACAACGACTACAGTAACACCGCCTTATTGGCCAAAAAAGGTTCGAAAAAAATTTTTGGTAATATAAACCACATCTGAATGTGGTATGTCCAGGGTTACGTTCCGAACACTAGAAAGCATGCTTCTGAAATCACGTCCAAACTTTATTTGACGCACGAAATTGTGCAGGTAGGCTTACGTGCAGTTGAATCATTTCATATGATCGCGTGTGTCATTGCACACAATATCCACCTTTGGCATCTATTCCTGAAGAAGGTGCCCCTTTAAGTAAGTGTTTTTGTTGTTTTCTTTCTGTTTTCTTTTTTTTGGGTACTAGTCTCTTTGTGATGTAAGCGATAACAATCAATCAAACTCTTGCGTTTTTGCGCTTGCAAACCCAAGATGGAGACGCCAAAAATGGAGAGTGTGTGCAATGCACACATGGTCATATGATGTGGCTTGACTGTAACCCACCTGCATCTATACTTCGGTGAAAAAAAATGAATTTTACAGGCTTTATCCGCTGAACCAGTTCGTCGCTCACCGACACTAAGACTAGACTGTGAGTCTTTACCGCCTCAGTTTCCCTCATCTTTTCATCGGTGGAAAAATCGTGCAAATAGCACAAAAAAACGCGTAACGAAGCCTGTTGCCAGAAAAACCAGTTACGATATGTATCGAAAAATAGTATTTGGAATTTTTGCCCGTTTCTAATGAGCATCATTACCCGAAAAGGTGCGCGTACACCGCGATTATCGCATGTTGTCGTTCGAATTGCGTTTGCACTGTATGAATGTGACGTTCGCACTTCGGTGATTCGAAATCCTGTCCACATGGAAAAGTAAGCTTTGGAAAGAAAACTAATGGATTACAAAAGGGGGTACGGGTAAGCATTTACGGATTTCCCCGAAACTTTTTGGGCTCGTCTCTGCGCTAAGCAAGCATCCTCACTCACAATAGATAGGGCGTTTAATTACAGAGGAGCGCTGTGCCTTAAACTTTATAATGGGGAGACATTCTTTGCAACATGTGAATTTTAGTAGACTTGGAGAGAAGTACGCTGCACTTGCGGTACCAACAACAACTGCGCGTAAAAAATGGCATTCAAGCAACGTTTTCTAATCTCGCGCTTTATGGCCAAAATTTTGCAGCTTTATCGGCAACACCAGCGTCATCAAATCTATGAAATTTAATCATGCTGCCGCTGCTTACAGTAGATTCTAGCCTCCTAGGTCTCAGATAGTAAAAAGTGAAGTTATGAATGAATATTATTATATACTTAGTCCAAAGGTTCTCATCAAATCTTCTATGCTAATTTACTCTGAGGTACAAACTTCGGTCGAAAAAATGTCATTGTGACTATATGAAAGAAAAAACTGTGCATAGTCTTTTCTTGACGAACAAAGCAGGTGTACAAAAAACAAAAACGCTTCAGATCAAAGAAGAGAAACTGCCAAACCATAGTGAAAAAAACCAGCAAAATCTGCCTTAAGCTTTTACAAGAAACCTTATAGAGCCACAGCAATTTGAGCTGCATGGCTTACAATTCCATTTATTGTTTTGGACTCTTTGTTTGAGTATGGGTGTTACAATCTATGGGATTTATAGCAGCTGAATATCACAAACATTTACATGGCTCTCAAAAATTCACTTTTTTTGCAGATGTAATTTTGCATGAATATAGAACTTTGAACCAGATGGATAGTAGGGAACTACTTTTCTAGACAGGAAGAAGAGAACTACAGTATTCCAAAAAACCAGAAAGAAAGTACGACTTTCTCCACTTGGCTTTATTCCAGAAATCGACATGGGTATTTACAATAACTCCAGATATAAGTACCTACAGAAAAATTTATACATACATATATACGCCAAAAGCCAAGATTTCCTTCCTACTAGAGCGTCGGAATTTTTAAAACTCTCGAATCTCCTACACACTCTCGCCTCCATTTTTGTCACATCAAGAACGTTCCTCAATTTTTTTCTCACAATGGCAGCGGATTTCTCCATTAATTAACTGGCCATAATAGATTTGCTGCGATCGACCTATTTTCTACGACACATTCACACCTTATCCGTAACGATTACAGATTTATTTCTCTCGCATTAGATCTCTCGATAATGAATGTTTGGGCTCAATGTTTGGAAAAAGCGTTGAGAGGACGCGCCTTTCAGCACGATCCCTAATTTTGCTGAGGGAAAAAGACTGTGAAGTTTTGAAAAAGTGATAAACTTGAAGTCAACCTTTTCTCAAAAATATGTTTAAGGTTTGGAAAATCGACGCTGCTGCAAAATCACACGATCAGAATGTTCTGATGGTTCGGTGCCAAAATATATAAAACGATATTATAGGCCGGTATGAAGTGATTCTCTCTTTGATTTCTTCTTTCTCATTTACTTATGTCCATCTCCCCCATACCGTAATCTTTCCAGCGAGGATCGGATGTATGCGTACCGTATCACTATCCAAGATGTTCGCAAGGTGAAGAAATGGAAGAGCAACCCATACAATACGAACAGAACTGTCAAGATTTGTGCTTTAAAGGGCCTGATAAGCACATTTCACCCCTTCTGACTTTGGCTGATAATTAATTAGGCTCTTCTCTGCCTATAACATAGATTTTCTTTATATGGACATGTGTTTTCAACCTAGCTCCGTGACATTGACTTTTGTCCTATTCATAATAATATCTACAAACTATTCACTATGTCAGGTTTATTTAATGGTTTCACAATTTCCATCTGATTCTGGAGAAACAATGAACAAACATTTAATACAAGCCTACTAAAAATACTAATAAGCTCAAAGTACTTTCACAGGCTTTCAAGCGTCTTTAGTTTTCTTCCACATTTCCCAAATAAGCCTCGCAGGCAAAGCCCAAGGAGGACACCATAAAACTTCTTGCCGCTTTCTTTAGACTATAGATCAAGCTAATATTGCGATAATCACAAAAATGAGAGAGTTGGCGAAAAGGAGCAAAATAACCCTTACACGCATTTTTTGAAGGCAAATCCTGCTTAGCTTATAGCCAAAAACTGGCCTCAATGCTCCAGTCACAAGATACGATATCCGAAACCATAGAGAAAAATATAGCTACAAATCGAAAGTCCGAGTATTTTCCTGGAAAGATACACGAAAAACAAACATTAGATAGAAAAAACAAATGAAATGTTTATTCTTCGAAACAAATAGATAAGATCAATGAACAACGGCTGATTGATTCATTCACCTAAGCTCGAAAGCAAAGATCATAAGTGAGGGGCAATATTTCCTATAAGCCGTGATGTAAATGAATGATTGTTCAATCCACGCAAACAAGGAATTTACGAATTTCACAGGAAGGCACTTGGATATAATTACAAATATACGTTTATAAAAATATGTGCTATTCTTTTTGCCGTTCAACAAAATATGTATTTAGCGTTTCTTTTAGCATCTCAGAGCTGACATCAGTACCATGATAATTCCGTGCAAAACGAGTCCAGAATTTGCATTTGGGGGACTTCAAACCACGGAGACTCTTTTGGAAAGCAGGTGTTGCAGCACATCTTCCCCGACACTGATGTTTTGCCCAACAAGCATCTGTCCTACACGTTTCACCTAGAATATTTGAATGTAAGAAAGATAGTGTTTACTGGGCTGAAAAAATTGCACATCTACTGATTTGAACTGAGAAAATGTTAAGCTTTACATGGAAGTATAATACCTATTTTTTTTGATACGATATCGATTAGAAAAACACCAAGGAAAATATTCGTGCAAGTAGACATTTAACAGCATTGTAGTAGTATGACCTAGGTTGAAAAACTAATGATATTTTTCTGTGTTCAGCAAGTCAAAGGCATATCTAAACCTAACACGCTATAGCACACCGTTACTTCAAAATAAATGAGAACTGGTTCAAGGTATAAATAAAAAATATAGGTCACTATTCCATACGTCTGCGTTATTTCCAATGGATTACTGATCCATTTATAAGAAAAAACATACCCTTCTTTTTCCCGCCATGTATTCGCATCCCATATAAAGCGCAATCATGGGAATCAGTGACAGAGCACCTAGTGGTCCCAGTAAGTACACCTGCAATGTATGAATTTTCATGGATTCAAATACATGTAGACCATTCCGAAATTTTTGTTGTGCAGCCTTAAAAAGAATGCTTGCACAAACTCATTCCAGGATATCTCTTTTGGTATACACCAAGCTGGTACCACTACGCTGTATAACTGTTTATTAGTGTCGATAACTGGAATTGTTTCCCGAATAAACAATTCCTTCAACGTAGTGGCATCCAATATTGGTTAACACCAAATCTCTTCCTCTACAAAGTCAAAAACTGTAGAGATATGTACTGCATATTACATAATCATCATTTGGTACTACTCCACTTTAGTGGACCAAAAAATGAAAATCGCAGATTTTGCTAAAACTCCATCTAGGATTTTGTACGGTGATTGCGAATATCAATAACATGATACATTGGATCACTAGGCTTGCACATGAATTTTGTCACCACCATAAATCCGATTTCATTTGCAGAAATCATTTGTATCAAATTGATATGGTTGATCAGTTAGAAATTGCAGAAAAGTTCCAAACTTCAAAATCTGCCAAATTTTGTACAGTACGCGCCATTTTTTTAGTCTCATCCAGTAACAGTTAGATAATCAGGTCTACGATTCTCAGCAAATAATCGTCCCCCCCCCCCTTGTTCAGCAAACTTCAGTGACCTTTTCGTGTACAACACGACCTTGATCACTGTCCCGAATTTCGCTGGGTTCCATACAACAAAGTGGGCATAATTTGTTGCTGAATCGCAAGCGGCGATGTAGTTAACAATCGTTTGATGTTATTATCGAACTCAATTGGAAGAATGCTATTTGGACAACGATAGGAATGCTTACGCGACGATTGTAGTAGCTGTAAACATTCTTCGTATTCAGCTCATCGCAGAACGTTCCCGAGTACGGCGATTCGCATTCGCATTTCGTTTCTGAAAGAAAGAGAAAATAGATAATCACAGTGCAGATCAACGGAGGCAAGCGATAAACTTCCTAGCAATATGACTGGTATAGTGAAAACGAAATTAGTGGAAAATTTATAAAGAACTTGAAGAAAAAGAACCAAGTAGCAAACTAAATCATGCTTCATACGAGCGGGAACTGCGAGAAGATCGAAAAGAAAAAGAAATGAATCTAACGCTGAAAACTATACGTCGGAATCAAAGCTTGCGATTTTTTCCATTTTTTAAGATTTAAGACCAAAAACTTGTCCAACACATAGTCACGTTCACAACTGTGGTTTTTATCGCTGACTAAAGAGATGAAAAAAATTCCCTGTCTTCGGACATTTCATTGTTTTCCTCAAGTGCTTGTATTAGGTTGAACCGAAAGTTCTGTCCCTCCATTTTCAAAAATTCGTAACTTCGCCAGATTTCAACGGATTTGCTTGCTCGTAATTTTATTAGAAAGAATAGATCTTCCGCTTTCAAGCCCTGTTTTGCGGAGCTTCTGTTTCACACTGAGTGCCGAGATAAAAATGGAAAACTAGACCATGTAAACTTTGACCATTTTAAGTTAGGTCACCAAAAATCTGGAATGCTGCAGAAAAATCTGAAATCGTCAGTACATATGTTTTTTGGCCTACCCTTTGCATCTGTGAAAAGTTTGTGTTGTTTGGACATCTCTGTGAGAAGTTATGAATATCGAGTTTACTATGGATAACGCCAAAATTAATTAATTTGGCAATTTTCGTGAAAATCATAACTTCTCGCAGAAACGTCCAAACAGCGCAAACTCTTCACAATTGCAAAGAGTAGGCCAAAAAACATATGTACTGACGATTTCAGATTTTTCTGCAGCATTCCAGATTTTTGGTGACCTAACTTAAAATGGTCAAACTTTACATGGTCTTAGTTTTTCATTTTTATCTCCGCACCCAATGTGAAACGGAAGCTCCTCAAAACAGCGTTTGAAAGAGAAAGAATTGTTCTTTCTAATAAAATTACAGACAAGCAAATCCGTTGAAATCTGGCGAAGTTACGAATTTTTGAAAATGGAGGGACAGAACTTTCGGTTCAACCTAATATATCCATCTTTCTTTTCAAAAATCACTTGTTCTGCACTACAGAATTTTTTTTTGAAAAGTTTCCATCCGTAACATATGGTCAGCAAGATTTAAGGGCTTCCAGAACGAATAATCGTAGATGAGACTACATAATTTATCAGAGTGGAAAGGATCAAGTTCAAAGAATCCAAGTTTTATTCACTTCTCAAACTTCAATCACTAATTACAATAATGTGAAAGAAAAAAGGCATAGACAGTAATTAGCAAAGATTTTGATGTTTTCAAAAATGATCATTACCAATCAGTGGCGGTCCCATGATTTCGGACCGGGGGGGGGGGAGACGCGACAAATTAGCCGCGCACTCCGAAAAAATTTTTAGGGTGCTTCTCAAAATTTTTGCGGGCTCATAACCCCTAAAATCTTGAAAAAGGGGGCGTGACCAGCCACGCCCCCGAAAAAAATTTTTTGTACAAGGCTAATTTCAATTTTTAAACAATTTTAAAAATTATTTCAATTATTTACAAGAGTAAACAAGTCATTTGCACATTTTTACAACCATATAAGTAAATTTCAAAAATTTTGCGACCCCATTCTCGGGGGGGGGGGCCTCGGTTAGCCACTGTTACCAATCTGTATGAGAAATAGACTAATATAACATTAGAAGCAAAAGTGCTTGCTCAGAAACTCTATCACACAAAAAGCCGGTTTCAAGATCACGAAACCAAGAGCAAAAACACTATAAATCAGTGCTTGATTTGAATATGCGTATACGTGCTTTGCAAAATTTGCTTACCGTTCCAATTTCACCGTATTCATGCTTTTCTTTCAGCAAAAAAAAACACAATTCTCATCTATCGAACGTAACAATATGATCCAAGATAATTTGCAGAAAAGCGAGCATCAAGCCTTACCCATTTGGCTAGGTTCCCCATGCACGCAATGTATCTCCTCGCAATAATCGCCATAGTATCCTGGTATGCAAGATGGACATCTGAATATATTATCCATTAATAAAATTAGAGGCAGAGTCAGAAAATTTGAATAGTAGACTTCTTGAGTGCACATATTGGAAGACATTAACTAATCTACCCAAAGTAGCAGCTCATTTCATTCAGTCGCGGCCGAGAAATATATATAAATCCCTGTCCAGCACCGTACTCAAGAACGCTCTTTAATTCGCTCGGTACTACGAAAACAGGCGAATTCCAGATTCAGATTTTCGATAACAGATTATACACCATCCTATCCGCTCAACGGCACAAAACCTCCATCTTTTCACCTTACAAGTATTGGCACTCATTTCCCTGAATGCTGCCTTCTGAGTAGTAAACCGCTTCAGAACAGCAGAAACCACATTTGCAAAACTTGCACACAATGTCAATAAGAAATCAGTGAATTGGTAAAGATGGACGTTGTAGAAAAACATAACCGATGCTAGTAACATTTATTTTTCTATGAATTAAACCTCCAGTCAATCAAATGTCACATGGTATCGCAAATGATGGATGAGAATGATTAAAAATGAAGGTAGCCATCACCCCAACGTAAAGAGTGTCTCCGAAGATGATGTGGCGTTTGTGTTCGATTTGTAGATCAAACATGAACAATCGAACAAGGCAAAAACCCTATATGTAGTAAGAATATCGGGGAGGGGGGGGGGGGGGGGAAGAGTATTTAGAAAATAACTAATCCCTAACCACTCTCTAGCTATTCTGAAAAGTTCCTCCGAGCTACCTTGGTTTTCAAAAATGTGGTAGATTAACAGCCACAGTATTACATCACTCAAGTTTCCGATTATGATCCGATTTATCAATACTAGGTCAGCCAAACCCCTCAGTGCTTTATTTTAACGCCAAAACTTTGTAACTAACAAATTTGTGCAAATTTCAATTTCCAATCCTTCATTCTCTCACTGATATCATCACTAAAATTCCCTGCAAAGCACATCAACTGCTTTTTCCTGACTTCGTTCAAAACCTTGCAAATTTACGAGGAAGTACAGTTTTCAGAAAAAACACTGATCAGGTTTAGTAGACAGACTATCGCAAAAAGAAAGGCAGAAGTGCAGTCAAAGTACAGCTTGCTTTACTGCAAAACATTTTTTTGATGGCACACCAATACTTTTTTTCAATACTTCAATCGTTGATGTGCAAAAAGTGCTGGAAATAATCAGCTTTAGGCTGCATTTGCCTAGAAACATTGAAAATGCTTTTTGTGCATATTTTATCCACTTAAAACGATATAAATGACAAATTTATTGTAGGTGTTCACATTCGAGATCTATTGCTGTTTACAATATAGCCTAGAACAATAAAATATTTGGGCGGACTGGTTCAAAAAAATCTATTAAAAGGTAAAGTTCCAGAAGACTGTGACAAATTTGTCGCTACATTTTCTAAAACTTCGTGCATCTGCTGCAGATTTCATCACTTATTATTTAGGGAGCGTAAATTATACCCTATCTCTTGCTAATAAGACCAAAAATCAGTATTGACCCATTGCGATTCAGCAGATATGAGGAGAAATTTCGCTTTTGCAATCTTCGAGTTGTAGCGTAAAAAATGCTTGTAAAAGGCAATAATATGACAAAGAATTAGTGAAATCAACAGCAATCCTTCTACCTCAAAAAATCGGTCATTAAAAGTCTACTATTGACGGTGGCGTACTCTATTAAGACCGTATACTTCAGCTTACATCTGCAAAACTTGAGTTTTCGTTTATATCAAGTTAAAATTATTCATATTGTCACCATCATTTCTGAACTTTGGTGCTGCTGAATAGAGCATGCTCCTTTTTACTAAATTTCTAAACGAATGCGTAAACCATGCAATTTTCCGTGGCTGCCTAAAAATTGCTGTTCCTGCCGAAAGGGACCACATACATATAACTTAATGAACCTGCAGAATTGAATCGTCTTGACAGAACAAAATTCCTGCAGAAAGTGAACTCTAGATTTAAAAGTGCAAAATTGCCGTACTTTTGAAACGATAATGTGATTTTTGTTGACATCACATATTGTTGGCATTTGTTGCAAGACATCGAGAATCAAATTTTGTGTTTGAATTCCATTGTGCCATTCTTTTTACCAAAATACACTTACTGCGGGAATGCTTAGCATCATTAAAAAATTAAGAAGGACTTAGTGGACCAAGCCTACTTATTCTGGGGACAATAAGCTTTCTTATGTGATTTTTGCGTTCTCAAATGTAATTTGTACTTATGACATAAACTAGACTAAATAGACTGACTTACAAATAAGTAATTTGAATATAGGGACTTCCAATTTTAATGATAAGAAGTTTTTAGTAAGCCATCGCTCAAATGACAGCTCTTACGACTCATTTGCGGTCGAGGAACCTGTAAACGCTTGCCCATACCGTAACTTTTGTAAGCGATGGGCATCCTAGAGTACGGTACCTACGCATGAGTTTAGAGCTCTGACTTTCCCCTTCGAACGATATGAGCAGCCAGTTGGGCAGTGCGCTAATTATCGCCTCATTCCTTCCTTTCTCACTCCTTTTCCTCAAGAAATAAAAAAGAACCCACGTTCCATTCCTAAATCGCCTGAACGAAGCGCAATGTTTCTTCTTTTCACAATGTCTTCCTATATAGTCCTGCTCGCATTCGCACTCTCCATTTAGTGGCTTGCCATGAACACATCTAAAACTACGACAATTTGCACACACATCGTACTATAACACCGCACCCTAGCTAATTTCAATTCGTTACACTGGTTGTCTCCGCCGATACGTAATTCCTCGTGCGGAATGTCGTTGTCGTTCTTGGTCCGAATCGTCCTCATCCTCTGTGTTAACCATTACTGCGAAGAAGAGCAGTAATGAAATGAAGATCACAACTGGCGACGTAAAGCTCATAAATTGACTGGAGAGCGCTCGTTTAACCTAAAAAAATAAGTTCATTTTTTTGCTTCATTTAAGAAAAGACAAAATCAGTGTCTGGAGAGTCTTTAGCGAAAAGAATGCTGAATTATGGGGAAAATGATGAACGATAACAGGAATTCATATAGGCTACTGCATGACGAAGGCGCAACACCTTTGGGCGCAAACGCGGCTCTATTAGCCGCAGAGCACATGAGGCGCAGGGTTTACAACAGTGAAGATACGCGCGCCCGCTCAACTAATTCTGCTTCTGCGCCTTCGTCCCGCAAGTAGTCTTTAGCTGATCAACTTTCAAAGCAATATTTTCCCTTAAAAAATACCGTGAGAAGAATGATCTATAGAGGCAATGATTTTCAAAAGAATGCCGAGCTTTGAGAAAAAATTGAAAATAGTTCAATGTTAAACAAGTTCTGCGACAATGTTGAGTAAAAACTGTCCAAATAATGATTTTGCAGAGCAATTAGACATATTGCAACTCATATTTACGACGCTATGAAGACCGATAGAGGATAGGAACACGTTTTCCACGCAAATTTGTAGTTTTCAAGTTTGATGAGTCATCTGCAGCCGTATTTTTGGGTCATTGAATATGCGCAAGGAATGTAGCATAAGAAATTTAGTAAACAAGCGCTGACATCTCCTACGAATACGAAATTAAACTCATTCAAGCTAGAAAAGTAAACGAACTTATTCGAGCTGGAAAATTGTAAACTATATCACTTTTTCAAGCATCGCTGTGAGCGAAGAAATGTATTGCAGCAGAGGAAATTTCAGATCGGGTTACGGTAGACTTGCTCGCCAAATTTTGCTGCATTCCTTAAAATCTGCAGTTTTTTTGGACCGCAAAAATTTTACACCAAAATGATCGCTAAAAAAATCTTTCGTAATTTAGTAACACGTTTTTCTTTCCCTAAGATTGAGGAGAAACACTTACACATTTCTTTCATCGAATGACGACTACTCATATATTGACCTTACACTTTTTTGTGTCGTATTATGACACAACGCATTACACGCAGCATAAAGGTTGAAATGAACGAGAATTCGCTGGACAAAAAAATTCTGAAAGGGATGCCTGTACGAGCAGCAAAGTTTAAAAGCTTTGTTTGAAAAATTTGTCATAAAAGTGGAGTATGTCAGTAAATCGAATTCTCGTTCACATTTATAAAAGTACCGATATTCTTTGAATAACGTAAACTGTCTCCAACGCTGGGTAGTAAAAACTATCGAGAGGAAAAGGAAACAATGTAGCTATGTTCAGGAAGAATTTATCTGGAACATTGTGTATTTGATAATCACTGCAAAGATGACTATTACACACCCTTTCATCTGCTGAAAGAAGAAATAAAAATGACTCCTCCAACACATCTCGCTATCACTTTACGGTTTAGACAGCCATTAATAAGATGGAAAAAGTGTCTAGGTGTTGCAAAACTGCGAATATTTTGAATCCAAAATGCTGCTTGTAATGATCGCGCCCCAACATGAAACATTACTATAGGCCTAAGGCATACCTCTCGCGATTTCGCGAAATCGCCACATCCTCGCGAATTGGCGATTTGCCAGATGTTTAGAGATTAAGCATGCGAGGCTCTCAGATGCATTGGTGCGTAGATTCCGTAAATTGTAACAAACACAGCAACTCTGGCCCAAGCAAGGTGCGTTTACGACCAGCTATGGAGAGTCTTTGCAGTGCCTAATCGCGCGGCGACTAAAATCGCGTGAGGCATGCCTTAGGCCATACATAATAGCATTAAGCTAAAGACTTTAAATAAGTTGACTAAACATATCGCTGTAAAGTCACTATTTAGTAAGTCCAAAGTCAGGCTTGTTCAACTGCAAGCCACAGGTACGGTGATTGTTGCCATTCTACAAAAGGTGCAGGTTTCTAATTGATCCTAGAGTTCTATTCCACCTTTTATGAAAAATTTTGTAATCTCTTGTCGCCTTGCCAGCTATTCTTCAATAGGATTTTGTTAGATAGAGAACATGGTATATAGCTGTTTTTCTCTAACTTTCTAGGAGGAACAGGTGCCAAGTTGGAAGGAAAAAATTTCATCCTCAGTGTCCCAAAGCTAGCTCGCCGAAAATTAGAACGTTGAATAAAATCCGAGAAAATTACTGATGTACGTAAATCGCTCTTTTGAAGAAAAAAATTGTGTGCTGATTAGATGTATACCGAACAATCTGTTATTAAGACAACGATATAGCAAGATTCATCCTTTGTCACAGTTCGAAAATCGTGAAATTTCTAACCAAGAGAAATTTATCTTGGAAAATTATAAATTACATAATAGCGGCGGTTTCGAATTTTACTGCAATGCCTAGGATTTTCAACAACTAAGCTAGAAAACATTAAAAGCCAGATGATCTTTTTTTCTTTCCGGTTGCTGAGATATGTCCGCGGCAAAAAAGACTTGGGATAGATAACTATGAAAGAAATAATTTTTTCTCATAAAAATAAAGTCATGAAAAGCTTCAACACAGCAAGAAGTTAGAAATTCTCGGAAAAAACTTGCTACAGAATTTCAAAGTCAACTGATATGCGCGCAATGGAAATAAGAGACTTAAATTAGATTATCTTGAAATACTTGTCTACCCTTTTGGTTTCAGCCACAACTGTTGTATCCTAGACTGCCTCGGAACTACTTGGCGGCCCAACAAGGACAACTGTTACAAAAAGAACGAGGAAGAAGCAAAAGTAGAAGAAATGAAACTTCTTCCTGTGATGATAGTCTGCTGATTGTTGGAATGTTCAAACATCGATGACAGGTTGAGAGAAATACGAAATCAAACTGGATGGCATAGAAAGCAACGAGCGCATTAACATTAGGCGATGACACGAGAAGGTTAGTGGCGCTCCCTCATCGTATGTTTCTTGACCCAGTCTGGTCTCGGTTGAATTGGTTAAATAGCCGTGCAAACGTCTAATAGGATGACTTGCTGTAAAAATATGTGTCTACTGTGATTTATTGACGTTGTCGTATGACATTTACTGGAATTTCTACTTCAAGAATTACGTACATGCCACTAATTTCATTCCCCGCTAATTCGATATTTGAAAGCTCCAAAAATTTAGAATAAAACCTATAAACCTTAAAGCTGCGCAAAACATTTAATGAGTATTCGAGGTCATTTTCACCATGATACACCGATCATAGGTCACGATAAGAACAAGAAGAAAATGTAAAAATTTCATTCTTGATACGTTGCTTTTGATCATGCGTTTATCTAGCGTGGAATTTGACTAAACTTTGTCATAGCTTTGCCATTGTTTGCTTGATTATCCAGAAACTTAACGCCACAAGCCAGGTTGGCTAAAAAAAATAAGTTCTTTTTTTCATGCAAAATTTTGCGAAATACTTTTTGTCGTTTTTTAATCATGATTTTCTGAAAAGAGATAGTGCAAAGCTCTTTTTCTCACATATCAACTATTCAGGATTTTCTACCATCAGTATCAGAAGCTGTACCCCAGCACGGCTAACTTCCGTTTCCTCTTTTCAACGATTAACAATAAAGTTTGTGATCTCCATTTCGCTATTTTTTCATCGAAACAATTGGAATTTCTCAATTTGCGGCTTTTTCTAGCGAGATTAATTTAATCACATTGGATTACTTTTTCCAGAGATACCAAACACTGAACAAAAATTTGTCAGCGGCATTTGCAGGAGTCGCAAAAGAGACGAAATTTATTTATAAGCCAACCAAATATTATTGAAATAATCATTCTCCGAGATATTTCGCAAGTCTAATTCTCAATGTGATTCATATCCGAATGAGATACTTGCATTCACTATTATTTTTTAAGGAAAAAATTTGAAAAAGGTCACTAAGATCCAAAATGCGGAGCATGATAAAGTATTTGTATACTTACAACACCTCAGTAACTGAATTGAAAGTACAAGAAAACGCCTCAAATGACTGGATACTTCTAAAAAGGTTTTCCAATGATTGATGTAGCCGTGCATGAAAGAAAGGTAGCTGAAACAGACAAAATAGATGACTTGCGAAGAATACAGTCATTGCTTCAGTCGCTGTTAATGTGTCAAGTGCAAAGGAGATAATCAATCAACAGCTAAGGATTATACCGACATTGTTTCGTAAACTAAAAGCAAGATCATTCTTTGTAGATGGTTTCCTTTTGCCTGAGTACTTATTAATAGGGGAGATATTTACATCTTTTCTTATGAGAAACGCTAGAATAAAAAGCAAATGTTAAATCCGCAAGAGATAGTTGGTGATAGAAGATCAGCACTGTGCTTTGACACCATCGAACGAATGACCCCGAAAAATCGACAAGAACAAGATCATATGAAAAAAAATTTCCAGTCTGATTGACTCACTTCCAAATTGTTGAAAACGGTGCTAAAAGGTCTTACTAATGAGCTATTGGAACATTTCCAGAATAAGAATACAAATAGCTAGTTCTTTTTTGCAAAGACACGTCATTCTGACAAACTCGACATATGTAAGAATAATTCTAGACTTCATAAAATTGGCAAGTTGAATTTCTGTAGCCATAATCGAAAATCAGTGATTTGAATCGTTTGGTTTCAGCAGAATATTGGCACCTTCTAGTCCTTTTTCGATCAGAAAACACTTTTGTTTTGTTTTTGCTGTGAAAAATCATCCAAATTACAATTACATCAGCCACTGTTTTACAGTTCCAAGCATTTCAAATTGAAAAATTCGTAGATTCAAGCTGAAACGAGTCTCTTGCCCGTGGTACAAAACTATATAGTATATACAGTAACCCCTTAGGATTCCAGACAAAAAATCATTGACCAACAGGATTGGACGAAACAATGATTACAGACAATTTGGCGATTTTCGACACAGTCAACGACGCTGCACCCGCCTACATTCGACATTGTAACAAGCGCGATAAAGAACCTTGAAACGGTTTTTTTTTCGCCACAGCAATATTGACCACAAAAGGGTGAATCCCATATCAACGATGCATTGAACAGTGCAAAGATGCGAATGTCGGAAAACTGGAAAAAATGCGTCTTTCGTGGAATGCTATTAGTTCTAGAACTTCCATCAACGGCGTCTTTGTCGATGATTTTATGAGAATAGCTCAAATATTAGCTATACTAATAGAAAACCAAGACTCAATAAACAGAACAAATATTGACAACAGGGGGGACATCTAGGATTTCCCAGGAATTGCGATCTTGTTGTCAATTTTGCCATGAACCAAACGTTATCATCGGAACTCAATACTAACGGCATATTTCTTGAAAGGATCCTTCGTCAATTACCAAATCATCAGTAAAAGAAATTCAAAATACTGAGATGCCTAATAGAAACAAACGAATTAGAGTGAAAAGCGAGGGGATGCCTGTCACAAATGAGAAATCAAGTCAAGTCAAATCGCGGAAAACACTCTTTCTCCGCAGTTGATTTCCGAAAACAAAAATCAGCATGACAAAAGTAATCGTAGAAATAATTGTGGTTGGATAAGCCAAATGCGAAGAAAACAAATGTGGAGAAAGTTGTTATGAAAGGTGCTATGCAGCGATCGTTGATACAATTCTTTCTTAGATTTCCAAAAACCATATTTTTAGTGAAATAATGCCTTCAGAGCGCCACATATGTAACCTCCATTACATATGTGGTTTCCTGCAACATTTCCGCCAAGCAATTTGAATTAGCAAAGCTTGGAAGCCTTTCATTCTACCGGAGACAAGTAGTGCAAAGATTGAATAGTTTCCATATAAAATCCCTATGGATTTCATGCAAGTGCTGATTCAAAAATTTTCTATGATTTACGATTTGAGCAACTTAACGGAGTCCACAGATTTATCTCAACAAACTCTTTGACTCATTTTGACTCATCTATCGCTCTCAACCAACGGTAGTGTTTGATTACTTCTAACCTGTCCAGTCAGCGGTGTTGTAAGAAAGCTCTCCTGGGCCTAAAATTTCTTGACATTTCTCAAAGTCTGACGACCTTATCGTGCTTCACTCAAGTAGAAAAGTGGTCGAGCTCGAAAAAAGCTGATGGAAGCCTTTTATCAACTGATTTTGCGGTTACTGGTATCGTACAGGTCGATCCTCTACTTTGATGTTCTAATTATTCTCAAATCTTTCCATTGCCGTGATTTCATATTTGAAAGCGCGACAATGGAAAGATTTGAGAATTTCTTCGAAGACTGGGCGAGTGCTTGGCGACCATGTCTACATGTGTCGGTTGCTCTTGACAAGGTGAGCAACCATCACACGTAGACAATGCGCGTATCGATCGTGTATCTGAATTGAAACGACAAGCAACAAAAATCTGGGAGTACATATTCACGACGGATTGTATTGCGAGCATCGCGGTACCTAACAAGAAATTCGTATGCTGTAGCACCTCCCTACCGACCGTAATCTACTGTGTGTGAATGCAAACTAGAACATTGCGCACAGCCTTGAATGCGGTTTGTTTTATTTCACCAAAATTTTTACAGAAGGAAAGGAGAGTGCTAATTCAGAACGAGGTAATGATAACATGCTGAAGTTACGCGTTTCGGTATAGTCGAGTATAATACATAGCTTAATATAGTGTGCTTGCACTGAAGGTGAAATGCGGTAAAATTTGCGCGTAAAGAAATAGCTACGCCTGTGACGCCGGCCATTTGCGCGCGCAAAATGTTCGCATTACTGGCATGGCTACTTGTTCACGCATAAATTTCACCACATTTCACCTTCAGTGCAAGCACACTACATTAAGCGGAAAATCCACTCGACTGTACTAATCAATATGATCTGAGGCAGGACAAAATTGCATATTGCAGCAGCTGCACATAAGAAGTTACAAAGTAGCTCGATCGTAGCAGTGTATTCAAATAATATAATTCTCGACCGCTCCAGGAGACAAAAAATTATATTAGAAACCCATTAGCAATTTTCATATCCCGACTAAAGTCTAGTGAGACAAACCAAGCATCTTCTTTGCATTGATTCATCATATAAGTCTCTTCCAGCACGTTTAGGTCACGATAAGAGATCCATTACTTCAACTGATTTGTCAAAAATTTGCCGCCCACGTCTAGAAACTCAGAAAGAGCCGAATAGATCTAGAGGTTGAAAACAAAAAATGAGATAGCGACACCATACCTCACAAGTCCCTGCTGGATAGCTTTGCCGTCCAGAAAGGGAGCAACAGTAACAGAAGAAAATCAACAGTCTACGATAAAAGCACACCTGATGTTGCGACATGATCCCCCCAGAGCTATGAATCTGGCAGCTTGAATCAGAAAAAAGCCATTTACAATAAACAACCAACAAAATCCAAATTTTCATGCATGTACCTGACGCTTTGAACACAGAATGGAAGTCATGCTGCTCAAACAGTACATACCTCCACACTGACAGCAATGGCAGGAATCAGATAGCTAGGGTCAGAAAGAACAGTTCGTGAATCTTCGGTAGGATATGATTCAAAAATGTGCTCCCAAATCTGCCCTTCTACGGGCATAGGACTATATGTCGCCGAAAAAGGGCGGTCCCCGCGGTCATTTGCGACAAATACGCACTCTTGTATATGCGCGGACATGCGTTCCTGCAGGAAATCCGCCCGGGACTCTCCCACATTCGGCGACATATAGTCCTCCACCCCCTTCTACGTCCGGATTGACTGCAACAATAATTAGTAGATATACCAGAATAAGAGATCAGCTACCACATTGGTCACTTCACTACATCGCGAAGCAAAAATCGAAATCTACAGGTGAGTCAAAGCATAATTTGGAAGATGGGTACTCCTAACAAATGCAGCAAAAATTTGATTATGGAGCCTAATTTTGTCACTAACATTGATATGGGTAAGACTAGCGAACATAAAGGAGAGCATAAATAAATGATGATAAAAAAATAGATGAGGAGAATTTCATCTCGAGAATGTTGCTATTTTATTCTTTAATAGATCTAACTGCTGGTCACGGTTACAAAAACAGAACGTCAACAATGCTTATCAATTCCTACAAAGACCTATAAAGGGTGTCAAGGTGACATAGAAGAAAATTCAAAGTGATTGCAAATCTTTAGTAGAAAATGGAAAAAAAAATATAGAGAGAATCACGAAGAACTAGCTTAGGCAATCGTCACATAAATGAAAAAAAAGACAAGCTTCCTTGTTAAACATACCTAGATAACTTCTTTTACATGGCATTACATAGAGTCCTGTCTTGTCGACACATTCCGACTGCTCGTTTTCCTATCCTTTTCACCTTAGTATGCAGTTAGGCGTGACCCTGAATAAATCACATTGGCAAAGTGCTCATACAAGTACAATAATAGGTAACAGAAGCACGCACGCACTTCGGCTCCAAATCTTGGCTCGTTCCTATTTTCATAAGTATATCCGCCATTGTCCAATATTATTGTTTCCATCACGAAAGAAATACCGACCTCAAAACTTTACACGTTGACAGGCCATCTTCGGAAAGACCCATCCGAACAGTTGAGATACCAACAATTATCATCGATAAGGATGCTAGGATATGTGATTCCATGATGAGAAGAACGATGTTGCCTTTGAAACGCTTTATTGTACATGCATAAGCTTCACTCTCTTATTGCAAACAGATCCACAACTCTAAATGATAAACGTAGAAGACGGACTGTACAATTTACAATCACGAGCCAGATTGTTCGGCTTAGTGTGAGCCTTCTGGAGTCCGCTGTTCGTCTGCTTCACTCCTGTATTTGATGACGAGCTGAGCCTCAGCTCTTTTCAGCCATGAGTGGACAGAGCAGATTTAATGTAATAATATAATAATACATATAATAACACAATAATAATACATAATAATACAACAATACAATAATAATACAGTAACGATATATAATAATACATAATACAATGATAATATATAATAATATATAATAATATAATATATATAATAATATAATATATATAATAATATAATATATATAATAATATAATATATATAATAATATAATATATATAATATATATAATATATATAATATATAATATATTATATATATTATTTTTCTTCCTCTTTTTCGACGAAATGTGCTCATTTTGGACCGCTTTCGTTTCTTCTCTCCATCAAAGGTCTTCTTATACTTCTACTCGGCTGAATCATGTTTCCGATATCCGCAGTCGCCCGATTTCGACCATACGTTGAGTAGTGGGAAGATTGCGAAGTCTTTGCTTGAGAGGTTTTTTCTGCATAGTATTTGCGGCACGGGCATCACGTAGTTCTATTTCCACGCTTTAAAATTCTCTCCAAGTCGCTTTCCTTCTTCTTTGACGCTCTAAGTTGTTCCCGCTCGGCACGCAGTTCTTCCCTCAATCTTCTTTGGATATTTTTTGCTTCCTCTAACTGCCTTTTCTGTATATTGATGAACATGTACATGTACAGTACAATACATGCAGCTATGTAATGGTGTGCATCCCTCATCATCTTGAGCATTTACATCACCACCTTTCTCGCACAAAAATCGCACCATTTCCGGTTTACTGGCGATCACAGACTGTAACGACCTACTTCATAAAAATGCTTGCCAAAAACAAAAATTATAGTGAACAGAAACTGTAAATCAAACAGAATGGTACAAGTACCTTATGTAAAGCTGTAAACCCTTCATAAGTGGCAGTGTTGATATCAACATCCTTCGCTAACAATTCTTCTGCTTCTTCCTCATCGCCAGACATGCACGCACTCAGGAAGTTATCACTGTCCTAGAATAAACTTGTACATAATAATACAGTAATGATACATAATAATTTCACAAGGGGATTCGTCCAACAGTCAACTCATTATCTCCCAAACAGATTCGTAAGGAAGTAGGATTGCATCTAAATTCCTATACATGATTAAAAAATGGACATTTCCAATAGAAACATTACGTTGGACCAATCGTGAACAAATTTGTGACCGAAGCGCTCCCATAGTAAAGTCTGGATCGACTTCAAGTTGAAAGACATTGCCATCCGTTCTATTCTTTACGCTTACTGCAGCAAATTCATCGCATTTACCTTCCACGTGATAAACAGAAGCAGATGCTGAGGAAGACTTCCCAAAATGCAATAGAAAAAGAAGTGCTTCAACTTTTACTATAAATAATCACCATTTGTAGTGACTTAATAACAGTAACAAGCAACAACAACAACAGATGAATAACAAGTATGAGGCTACTCTATCCTAGGAACTTTACAATCTACGTTTTCTTCAGAAGCCTCGCCTTTGCCTTGAGATGTTTGGAGAGACTCATCGTGGTTTTCCCAGTTGAGAATAAGTGAAACGTCTGCTTCAACACTGTCCTCTTCAACGTCTTCCTCCATGCTAGTATAATAATATAATAATACATGTATTATAATAGTAAATAAAATACAATAATATATAATATAATAATATATAATATAATATATAATATAATATATATAATATATATAATATAATATATATAATATAATATATATAATATAATATATATAATATAATATATATAATATAATATATATAATATAATATATATAATATAATATATATAATATGATATATATAATATAATATATATAATATAATATATATAATATAATATATATAATATAATATATATAATATAATATATATTATATAATATATATAATATAATATATATAAATAATACATATAATATAATATAGATAATATCTTATATATAAAGCTGAATGTCTGTTTGTCTGTCTGTCTGTCTGCCTGTATGTGTGTACGTATGTTTCGAATAGAAAATTCCATTTCTGAACCGATCGGGACCAAACTTGGCACACATACACTTCGGGCCCCGGCGGGTGTCATAGGCTACTTTTCGTATCGATCGATATCGATTTTATCGCTTTTTTGCAAAATTTGAGCTACGGGGCTGGGAGTTGGCACAAGGGGGTAAGTGAGCATGGGGATTCCGAATACAATATTAGTTTTCAAAATCGTGCATTAATTTTATCGATATTATCGATTTTTTTGCAAAGTTTGAGCGGTTTTCTAGCCACACGTGCACTTGCGACAAAATGGGCATAAAAGTCCACGAGGGCCCTTCGGCTGAATAGAAAAAGTCTCGTAAAGCAAGATACAGTAAAAGAAGAGAATTTATTGAATTTTCACGGTATCGCAAAAGATCATCGTCTGTGTGTTCCCCCATGTGTCCCACGAAACCATATCCAGCTTGCTTATAAGCCACCTGTGTCGAGCCGTGATCAGGACGTAATACCATAACAAATGAGAATAGCATACTTTTAATAGGATTTATTGTAGATAACAAAGTCTTTAATCGAAGAAATCCACCGTAGTTCATTGCAAAAGATGTCTTATTAAACCAAGGGCAGCATGCATTAGCATCCCCGCTAGTGAGGGGATCGCAGCTTGAAAAGAAAGCTTCATATCCTGAAGCTCCACATGTCTGGATCTCACGCTGTATACCTATCCGCAAGTATTCCTATCTTTCTTCACTATGAACATATTGAACAGGAGCGAGAAGCTGTACAGCGCATTTTCCAGCACCTTGTATGATCTCCAGATGATCCCCGGCGGCTGACCGTCTTTTCTTCAAATTCACTTTTCTTTCTTCGAAGTTAACGAAAATCTTCCAAAGTTGTACTGAACATCTGACCAACAGTGCTAAACATGTTGTTGATATGAACAGATGAGTTTTTGAAAAAACGAATTTCTCGATAAACCCCAACATTCGACTTGTGGTTCAACGCAAATTTCATGACTCCGATACATCATTTGTTCTTATCTTTGTTCTTACATGCTTAGCACCATTAGGCTAGATGAACAGTACAGCTTTGGAATGTTTTCACTAACTTTGAAGAAAAAAATGACTTCAATGAAAAGATGTTTGACTACCAGGGATCATCTGGATATCATACAAAATGCTATAAAATGCGGCTTGTACAGCTTCTCGCTCCTGTGCAGTATATTCATAGTGAAGGATAGTAGGAGTACTTACGGATGGGTAGGATCCAGAAGTGCGGAGCTTTAGGATATGAAGCTTTCTTTGTAGGCTGCGTCTCCTCCCCAGCGGGGATGTCAATGCAGCGGCCCCAAATGAAAACTGATAGGGGAAAAGAGCGAGGGGATACCTGTCAGAAATGAGGAGTCATTCAAATCATTGGGACTTAAGAATCTTTCTCCACAGCTGTTAATTTTCAAAAACAAAAATTGACTAGAAGAAGTCTATTTTTACCACTACCAAGGGCACAATTTCTTGAAATCATACGGAACCAAAGGAAAACATACATTTGCTGAAACCACCAAGTAAGAAATTCAGTAACATCTTGTTTTGATGATTTGATTCGAATTTCGTTTTGACACTAGTAAACAAGGTTTTTGTATATTTTGGTTTGTTTTGTGTAAAAAAAGACCTCATCTTATATATAAAGCTGAATGTCTGTTTGTATGTCTGTATGTATGTCTGTATGTATGTCTGTCTGTACGTATGTTCCGAATAGAAAATTCCATTTCTCAACCGATCGGGACCAAGCTTAGCACACATACACTTCGGGCCCCGGCGGGTGTCATAGGCTACTTTTCGTCATCGATCGATATCGATTTTATCGATTTTTTGCAAAATTTGAGCTACTGGGCTGGGAGTTGGCACAGGGGGGTGATCAGCATGCTCGATTACACCCCTCTGCCAAATTCCAGCCCCCTAGCTAAAATTTTGCAAAAAAATCGATAAAATCGACATCGATCGATAACGAAAAGTGGACTGTGACACCCGCCGGGGCCTGAAGTGTATGTGTGCCAAGTTTGGTCCGGATCGGTTAAGAAATGGAATTTTCTATTCGGAACATACGGCGGAGCCGGGTAAGCCAGCTAGTACTTCATAATCTCAGATAAAAAAACCAACGTTGCTTTCTCCTCTTTCTAACGATTCTAGCATCATTTCTTCTATTCATTTTTATGTGTAAAAGAAGAAATCAAAGGTCACAGTAATGCATTAGCCTACGCTCTCGGATCTATACAAATTTGTTCAAATGGCGAAGGCGGTTAGACTTCTGAGATGTCTTTACGCATCTGCAATTTGATGTCATTATGCGTCTTCTTTCCTTCTGGCTGTTGTCTAGCTCTATTTTAGCGCATTCGCATCAAAAATAATTCACACAATCGAGAACACAAAAAGTCACACATACATAGATAAGAATTTCGCAGCATCAACTACTCATACCTAGTAGAAAAGCACCATACCTTTTTCAAAGCATAAGTTGCATCCAGTATTTTGAAGCAAGAGATTTCAAAATCTTTTTGATTCCAAAAAACGCTGGATCATATGATTCGCACAAAACGCTATAGTATCATTTCAATGATGTCACAGAAAAAGACCGAATTCGTATTATAGTTTCTCAAATCATAATAACGTTAGTTATCATCTACCATACACATGTGGTTTTATTTAGAGCAAAGTTATAAATTCTACTGATGGACGTCCAAAAGTCATCGTAGAAATAGTTGAGGTTGATAAGCCAAATGTAAAAAAAAATGAGGAGAAAGTTATTGTGAAAGCTGCTGCAGAGTGATCGTTGATATTTTTCTTTCTTAAATGCCAAAACTCATATTCTTGGTTTTATAATGCCTTCAGCGTGCCACATATGTAATCTCTATTGACTTAGCTGACAAAATATTTGAAGTGACAGAAATCAAAATTGAGGATTCTCATACGAAAAGGAGTCACCCGGAAGATAGTGGACCTCTTTGCGGCTTTATTCAATTGCATATCATATGAAAATAGACGGTTCGGAGCCCTACGAAGAACAATTCATATACTCGACAACTGGAAAATAATCTTTTAATTTTTTACAAGAATAGTTCTCGAGCTTCTACAGTTAACGGTTTCGTTCAGAAATATCGATTTATCCCATTTCTTTTATCAATTTGAATGATTTTCTCAAATTGAGGAGTATTTCTGGTAGCATAAGTATTTTGATGACCAGAGCGATTAGAAGACTAGACTTGAAGAAAGCTGCAAGTGACGTCCCACAACCTTGAGCTGTTCCCGAGCTCGTGCTGAGTGTTTCACAACTATATGGTTTCTTGCAACATTTACGCCAAGCAATCCAAATTAGCAAAGCCTTTCATTCTACTGCAGACAAGTAGTACAAAGATTGAAAAGTCGTATATAAAATCCCTTTGAATTTGCTTGCTTCGTTAGTCATCTGCGAGTGAGATTCATTATAATTTACTGCTGATTCAATATTATTTTCCTACGATGTAAGCAGCTTAACAGAATACCGAGCTTTTATTCATGAACGAACCCACTTATTTTGACTCACATATTTCACTGACTTAGCGATTTTAACCTTTTTACAAAACCTTCCCATTTTTTTACCACTTGTTGCTCTGAAAATGTGTTGAACACATGAACGCATATCGCAAATTGTCCATTAAATTGTATCTGATGATCTCCAGTTTATTAACCACTGTTCTGGTTATCCAAAAACAGCAATCTTTACTTGGCCAGGAGCTTTGTGTTATTGCACTGCTTTTAATATATAGTGAAAATGTCTCAAGTGTCTCAAGAGTTGGAACAACTTCCTTTTTTTTACTTCCGGCAAGTATTCCATTCTGCTTATTCTCCAAATTGCTAGCGATTGTACTTCCCTGATTGAAAAGTGTGCATCTACACTAAGTTGGTTGAAAGAATACGACTGTACATTGTAATACGACTGTACAGTTGGTTGAGTATGAAGCCTAATTGCGTTTTTATAAGAAATGAATCTGGAACATAAAATCAGGATTTCGAGCAGCTTCACAAAACAGGGCCCTCTTCTCCATTTCTACTGAAGAAAAAAAGTTTCCCACGCTGCAAGTCGAGCTTCAAGAGTAGAAGTAATTTATGCGGGGTTCAGTTTAGTAGTCCTCATAGAAACAAAAGCTATTGTCTCTTTCAACACAAGTCGTACTCAAAAACTCATTCCACTTCTTTCCAACGATAAAGTTTTCAGGTCAAATTTGACCTTGCAACTTCAGAAGCTTGGAGATTTGTTCAATTTGCGATGTTGCACCTCTACTGGTGATTAAACTGTTGCCGCATATTCCCTACAACGCACAAATTCTCATTTTATTTGTGTAGATTTCAGTATTGGTTTGTTTGAAAAATAGCTATCTAAGTTCAAATGTCGTTTCTAGCGGCAAGAGAAGCGTTATAAGATGAAAGATTTTTCTCATGATTGCCATGCCCTGAGAAAATCTCCGCATAAAGAAACATCATTTGTCAATTGAAATTTGATCACATTTCTATGGTTTCATTTTTTTTCATTCTCGTTTTCACATTCAAAAGTTTTTTCGTGGGAATGCATACATA